AGGCAGTGAAGCCAACATCGAGTGATTGAGAAATGCGCTTTACCCGATGTAAAAGAAGATAGCCATAAACTATTTAAAGGTTGACAGTGTGCCCGTCAAATCCCAGAATACTTTTTGAGCAATTGGTAGGTAATCTACCAATGATGTTGGATTTTATGTATGAACCAAATAAATGCCTCATATGCCAACGCTTTGTCATATGCTTTCGCCTTCACTGACGCTGTTGTTTTCCGGCAGGGAACTCTCGAAGACGTTTTGCGCGTAGAGGTGTAAAAATTTAGAGGATTTTTTTGGCATGGAAACAACGGTCTCGTCTGAAGCAGCGTGAGTAGGAGCTAGTACTCGGAGATCTACTTATTCTTATCTCAAAATTGAACAAGCATTTTGATCACGTAATGATTGGTTGAAGTTGCTCAATAAAGGGATATGTCCCGGAAAGCATCCCGGCTAGATCGCAGTTGGTAGCCAGGAATGGGGAAGCGGACGGCGACCTTAACCCTGGTCCTAACCTTAACCCTAACCCTAACCTCAAACTTGAACGTTAACCATTAACCCTAACCGAAATCGTAAATGTAACCGTAGCCCCTAGATATAGCCGTAACTGAAAACCCTAACCGTAATACTGAAACCTAATCCTACGCTCAAACCCTAACCGTAACCCGAAAACCTAAGTCTAAAGGCATAACCCTAAACCGAAAGTTGGAGACCATTAACCAGTACCCTAATCCTAACCTCAAACGTAAAAAGGAAGCCAAATGGCTCAGATGTGATTATGGAACCCCAAAAAATGCACCCAGTAAATAAACCGCCCAGCCACCTGTAATACGGGGCCTGGCTACCAACTGCGCTCTAGCCAGCATCCCGATGTCTTTAAAACGTGAGAAGCTAGGCGGTAGTTTCGGGATGGAGTCACAGAGTTTCGGAGAGTTGAAAATCGAAGTCAAATGCTAGGGGCATTATAAAGTAGGACTGCCTACAGACCTCGTCGACGTTTCCCCTTATTCCTTTCGTGTTTCACGTCAAAGTCGATGACGTTGACTTTTTCATATTTTCTTTGCTGTTGGCCAGTTCGGTCAGTCTGACATCACCAAAGACTGAAATACACTGAAGATCGGCGTATTACTAATTGAGCAGATAGAATTGGTCAATCCATCCATCACACCACCTCACAGATGTCGATCCGTACAGACCGGCAATTGCTATTCAGACCGGTGCAGTCATCAAATGCTGATACAGTCGCCGGCCGCGCTGTTAGTTGAGACAAACAAAAGGAAAATATGAGGACTAGAAGGCTGAACGGCTCCGCCTACTCCATTGGTTACACGTTTCCGGTTGTTTAGGTCCTGGCAAGGGGTGGTAGGCTCGACTACTACAAATGACTGATTACAAGGAAAGTCATTCTAAGACGGTCTCTAGCTCCAGGAAATTCGCATCCTTTGACTGGCGAATCTTCGGTGAGATCCTATTTCGTAGCCGCACCTGTTAGGGGTTGGAGTTAGGAGTTATGGTAATGATTAACGGTTCGTGTTAAACCTCCTATTACCACCGCTCCCGTATGACAGCCGGCTGGGGCTTGTCTACTGCAGGCGTGGCTACGAAATAAGATCCTACCGAATCTTCAACTAGCTGGATGCATTACCAACTGAGAGGGAAGACATTGCGACCGTGTTCGCTTATGGGATGCTTGGTGATACATTTTCAGTTTTATTTGTGGGTTGGCTCACATGACAGTCAGAAACCGGCTTCAGTCTTACTTTCTGGAGCGTAGTACCAACTTCCTCCAAATGGTTTTAATCGGCTGCCGACCAAGGATATGCTTTTTCTTTCTGGGCTTGGCTTCTCTTGGTCACGTAAGAAGCAACAAAGTTCACCACTGCCATGGACAGGACGCAGTGGTGACTTGCATACGGATTTTTCTATAGTCGCTCCACTAACAAACTCCTCACATGTCGTTTGCTTAAGTCAAGACAACCGGAGGTGGACATTAGAAGCTGATAATACTGAATAGCCTTTCTACGTTTGCCACATTCGAGCTGGCTCCTGGCTTAATTCACGCCCTCCCCAACCACGCTCTCCAATGACAACTTGGAGACGGAGCCACACCCTGAAGAGGTAACAAGTTGCTTCAACAGGCGGCCTCTCAGGCTCAGCTGTTAGTGCGCCGCAGCAAACCCAAAGAACGTTTGGTTGGTGTAACGAGAAAATTAGACGCCTGATCCAAGCTAGATCGCACATACGCCTGTCTGAGTTTAGTCGACCTACGATGAGGTTGCACGTGATAAAGTCACCGTACTACACATACCACACGCGCCTCGGAATATGACAGGAGCAGTGTCATAAAGGTCAAATTAAGAAGGCATAATGGGAGTCTACGACTCATCCCAAAACCGGATCGAGTTATCCCCTCTGCTGGTAGCCTTTTTAGCTACGACTTTTGTCGCGTTGTGATAGGTTTGGGTGCAGAAGACAAAGATTCGATCACTGGAACAAGAAATTTTTTTGGCCCGACGTTTCGGATTTTCACTCGAATCCATCATAAGAGCCAATTTGCCGAGCAATCGTCACACCAGCATCCAGCACGAATGACGAAATCATGGCAATTAGCGACTCGGACTCGGACAGACAAGGCACCACCGCATCAATTACGACCCCGGCGGTGACTGCGTGAACTGTTAATTACAGAGTCCCATATGGTCCCACGGCAGCCACGTGCTATAAATATTGCACTCCTTGTGCCACCATCACCTTTATCTGCGAATGTCTCTGATGATGGATTCGAGTGAGAACCCGAAAAGTCAGGCAAATAAATTTCTTGTTCCAGTGATCGCATCTTCGTCTTCTGAACTGCTACCTGGAACTCGCCTGTTCGCTTCTATCAGGTTCGGGTGCCTCAGATTCATTGTAGTGAGGAATGTGCTGATTCATCATGGTGTAGGGCATCTCAACATTAGCTCCACTCTGCCTTGCCACTCATGCGTCAGCGGCCTGTCCGGATCTCCCAACACCCGTGTGATGAGTTTAAGCGCGTTGACTGAGGTGGCGGGGTCTGTGCACGCGAGCGCATTGACACATACGACAGCTCACCCATCTCTACTGACTTTGGCGAACATTGGCGCAGGACTGATGCATGGGCGATGCGTGGTCTGGAGGTGTACACGAACAACCGGAAAAGTACATGAGGTATGTAGTCGTGCGTGGACGGTGAGAATCCCAACAATAGATAGTTTCTGGTGGTGGTGGTGGTGGTGGTGGAGGGGGGGGGGGGTGGTGGTGGTGGAAGTCTGTCCGCCTGTGGCCAAACAGGCACACGCGCTGGCCGTAAGTGCGGCTGCATTGTGGGCAGGTAAGGCAGTCATGTCGGCTGTTGATCGGGGCTCCTGGCAATCGTGTTCCAGTCACGTCGCTGAGACGAATTTCTACGTGCTTAAAAAGCCGGTGCGTGATCAGAATGCATGTCATCTATTTAAAGAAGCTGGTATTATGCCAGTACTAATGACTTTACCACCTGTGTCATGACGGAGTTGCCTTTGCAGTGACTGCAAAGGCGTCCGGGTATGGTGGACGGAGATGCGTATGGGATGTCACATTGATGATACATGAGACAGCTATGTTCGGTAGTGGTGGGGTTTTGTGATCTGAGGTGTAGGTTGTTCCCGTTGACATTGCGCTACAACAGGGTTAGTGGGAGTCTTTAATGGGATTTGACAGGGATGGGACG